CGCCCTACAGGCAGTAGCAGGGAATAAGGGAAAGAAAAGGGAGGGAGGAAAGAAAAGGGGGGGAGGGAGGGAAGCAGCAGTAAGACTAAAGGGGAAGAAAAGGGAAAGGGATAAAAAAGGGGGAAGGGACTGAAGGAGGCAGTGGTCAAAAGCAAAAATTCAAGAATTTGGTGAGCTGTCAAGCGAGACAGGTTTAAAACTTGAGTTTCCTTAAAAAAATCATTAAGTGAATTTTGGCATGGGATTAGGGCAGAATTTCCAACAATTTCTGAAATGGCTCTAACCACTCTTCTGCCATTTTGTACTACGTATTTATGCGAAGCAGCATTCTCAGCACCGACAATTATAAAACCAAAATATCAATCAACTCTGAAAAACATTGAAGATACTCTACGTCCTGCAGTATCAAATATTCTGCCAAGATTTAATTTTTAACGTAAAAATAAACAAGTACATACATCTCATTAGAATGCAAATTTGCTTTCATCTTTAATAAATGATAAAATTATATGAATGCCAAAGAATTATTTTAAAATAAATTTCTTTATGATTTATGATCAGTAAACGTTTGATTTTGTATACCTATTTTATATACCTACATACCACAGGTCATGTAAAAATTTCTTGGGCAAAAAGGGGTTATGAGTGTGAAAAATTTAAGAAGCCCTGACTTGTACCAACTATCCTTGAAAATCCCTGGTTTCTGATGCACTACAGCCTGCTCATCCTAACCATGCCATCTGGAGAAAGTTCATTTTCATTTCTTTGGAAAGAATGTTATTCAATAATTTACACCCATACACCTATGCCAGAAGAATACAAGCATTAAAAATATGTCTTTCTTACATGAACTGATACAAAGTGAAGTGAGCAGAAGCAAGAGAACACTGTACACAATAACAACAATACTGTATGGATGAAGAAATGTGAATGACTTAGCTATTCTCGGCAATACAATGATCCACAACAATCCCAAAGGACTCATGATGAAACATACTATCCGCCTCCGGAGAAAGAACTGATATTATCTGAATACAGACTGAAGCATACTATTTTTCACTTTCTTTATTTCATTCCTTTTTTTTTGTTCAACTCTTGTACAAAATGACTAATATGGAAATGCTTTACATGATTGCACATGTATAACCTATATAAGATTGCTTACCATCTCAGTGAAGTGGAAGGGGAAGGGGAAGGAGGGAGGTTTAGAATTTGGAACTCAAAACTTTAAGACAAAAAAAAAAGTTAAAAATAGTTTTAACACGTAATTGGGGAAAAATATTATTTAAAAGTAAAATAAACAATATCAGTCCTTGTTTTAGTGGACCATTAAAAATACTCCACATTCCCAAAGAAAATATAACATCCCACTGTGTTTATAATAGTTTGGTTTTTTAAATTAATGGATTCAGTAAAACGAAACACTATACCCTAACAGGTCTTTTTTTTTACAAGTAAGTACCTCCTCTGCATGTCAAAATTATAGAGGAATCCTTAAAAGATATATTTTTAAAAACCCTTAATTCAATGAAATATCAAGTAAGGAATAAAAAAAGAGTTACAAACTCAGCAAGGGTGCTCACCCCTGTCATGGAAGAGGTCTAATGTAAAGAATCCACAAGAAAGATGTTAAAGCCCTCTGGATAATGGAATTTGGGAATGACATTGGACCTACTGCATCAAACCCCAGAATGCCTGTCCTTGCTCATAAGGAACACACGATCTAACAGTGGAAGACAACATATATAAGGAAGCTGGAAGGCAGGGAGAGGAGTTGGGGAGGCATGATGATGTCCAGAGGAGTGCAACTGGGTGAAAAATGAAGAGATGGTTCCCCTAAGCATTCTCCTTAAATGAAGAATGTGGGGGAGCTCTCTGATGTCCATCTGGCAAGACTGAAACTTGGGGGTTTATCTGATTCATAGTGAATTTTGACCCAGCCTCCCATTGTGAGAGTGACAGTCCTTGCTTTTCATATGGGTTTCTTGTGAACAGATTGTGTGGTTTGTTTTCTCACCTATTCTGCCATTTTCTTTCATTTTACTATATTGTTTAGTCAATTAGAATTTAAAATTATGAGAAGGAGGTTTGGGTTTTTCTCCTTTGGTTTCTTTAGCATTCCTCTTAGATATGTTTGATTCTCTTCCTCTTTTAAATGAATTCTTTGCCACTGCAATTGGTTTTGCTTGAACTAATTTGATGCATCTCTATTTCCATGGGCTCTATTCCTACTATACCTAGCTCTTCCAGTTTGAAGTTTTACTTAAGTTGTTGAATTTTCTTTTTAAAATTTAGTTTTCTGCTTCTTCCTCTCTTTTCCCCTTTCTCTTTCTCCTCTAAATTAAGTGGTTAGAGGCAAGCGAGTGGTACAATAAACAGAGCACAAGGCCTAGAGTCAAGAAGACCCAAATTCAAATCCAGATTCAGCTATTTACTAGCTCTGTGACCCTGGCAAGTCACTTCACTTGCATGCTTCAGTTTCTTCATTTGTAAAATGAAAATAATAATAATAGCATCCAGCTCCCAGGGCTGTTGTAGCCTAAAATAGGATAATATTTTCAAAGTGCTTTGCAAATCTGAACATGCTGTATAAATGCCAGCTATTACTAGTAGTAGTACAGTAGCTCAAAATTTCTGTCTTCTCCCCTCCGATTTCATATGTTGGTTAGTTCTCCTTTTATTGTACCTTTTTCTAAGAAGTATTGCTTTGCTTTGTTTTCTTCCTTCTTTTCCCTTCCAGTGTATTTTGCAATTTTATTCTTTGTAGGCAAGTCCCACCCCCTTCTTAACAGAATCAGAAAATTGTGTGATTCAATTCACAAGGGTAGAAATACTGAACAAAACAATATGCTTGGTACCAATTCCCCTCTGTTCTAAATCATGCAGTGCAATTCTACCCCTCCTGTTCCCCTTAACTGTTCTCCTTACTAATGACCAGGACACTTTACACAGGCTCCATGTCTACCCCAACTCCCTTCTAGATAGTCACTGCCCAAAGGAGCTTAAACGACCCTTTTCCTGGGCCAGGATTTTTATCCATGGAAGCATCACACTCTCTCAGAAGTAGCCTTCCAATGCATATTCTGCCCCCCTGAGGTCCCCAATCTCCTACACACTTTTTTCCTGAGTTCTGAACAACTGAGGTTGTTCAGTGGGGCATCTACCCTTGTTTAGGCTTGAGACCACTTCTTTCAGCTCTCCTTGATTTAATTACTCCTTTCTGCTTCCTCTCCTGAATTCTCCTGAAGCCCTCTTCTTGAGAAGAAGCTAAAGGAATCACCTCTTCACTGTTTGCCCATGAATGCGGGAGAGCTGTATCACCCACCTCTCCTTACCCCATTAATATACCCTCCTACGGGGCAGATAACTAATTATAAGAGAAACGCAACTTGTAAAACAACCCTAAAGCTTAACTGTATACTGAGCAAATCAGCAAAGATGACAAAAGATACGAATAGTCAATACTGAACAGGTTGTAGAAAGATAGGAACACCAGCAAGCTGTTGGTGGAACTATGAATTTGCAACCATTATGGAAAAATAAAGTAGAATTACGTGAAGAAAGTAACTAAAATGCCCATACCCTCTGACCCAGAGCTTCCACTGCCTGCCATACATCCCAAAGAGGTCAAAAAAAAGAAAGGCTCCTTAGACATCAAAATATTTATAATAGCATTTTTTTGTAGTAGCAAATAATTAGAAACAAAATAGATGCCCATTAACTAGGGAATAGCTAAACAAGGAGTGTGTGTGTGTATGTGTGTGTGTTAGAGATATACAGATCTAGATAGATACGTGCGTGTGTGTGTGTGTGTGTGTGTGTGTGTGTGTATCTCAATGTGCTGGAATATTAGTGTATTATAAAAAATGATATAATGACTATATTACTATGTTATAAGAAATAATGAATGAGATGAATAAAGAAAAGCATAGGAAAACTTATATGAACTGATATAAAGTAAAGTAAGCAGAATCTGGGAAACAATATACAAAATAATAAGAATGGAAGTGAAAAGAACAACAAAACAATATAAACTGAATGATCTAAAATTATAATCACCACATTTGGCCCCAAAGAAGAGATATAAGATGACACATCACCCCACATCTCTGAAGTAGGAGACTCTAAGGGCAGAATACTACATAGAAAATGTAAGGCCTTTTGATATGTTTGTTAGCTTTTGCTAAAATTTTTTTTCCTCTTTTTTTATTCTTTGTTATAAGGGATATCTCCTGGGCAGTGGGAGAGAATGTAGGTGATATAAATACATAAGATATCAATAAAAATTTACTTTTTAAAAAGAGCTAACGTAAAGAAAGACAACCTGGCAAAGAAGACAGAAAGCCAACCTCAAAACCAGAAAATCTGGGTTCAAGTTCTGTCTCTGACATATACTGGCTTTTGTGATTCTAGACAACTCATTTAATCTCTCCATGCTCTACACTATTCTTTAAGATTATAAATTGCAGAGAAGTACCATATTTCACTGCATAATCATCGCAGATTTTATGTCAAATTTTTTTGCAAAAAAGGTGGGGTGCAACCATTATAGAATACTAGTGAATATACATTAACCCTCGAAATTCTAGGCTCGCAACACATGACAGATAAATGCGTATCCATACGCCACTGGTGAATGCACTGCTGCTCTATTTACCTTTGAAGAGACCTGACAGAATTATACCACACAATGATTATGCAGTTTTTGGACTTGGAAAAAAAAAACACCACAGGGTTCGATGATTATGCAATGGTGACAATTATGCGGTGAAATACGGTAATTTTAATGCATCATTGTCTAGCTCATGCCAGCATCTACTGAATCTACTTATGGCCTCTGAATCAACAATGTAATTTTCTCTTATTAAGACATCTTTCTGGAATAATTTTTTTCAAAAACAAGTTTCCAAGGAATATCAAATACCTTTAATATGACAAGATAGATAAATCATTCTAAAATTAAAAGTATCAATAATATTAACAATCATTAAAACACTTACGATGGTCGGTCCTCAAGAATGAGAGCAGTGGTTGAAAGTGGTTCAAATTCAAAATTTTTACGTCTTGTGGACGGAAGTGGAGGTTTACATGTCCTCCCTGTTCGTGCTTCATATTCCTAAAGTTAAAAATAATATACATTATCCAAAGATTTTACATTTTAAACTTTTATTCAATTGCTAGTATTTAATTACTGAAAATAATATGTTGCAGCAAGGAAGTATGTATATATTAAGTTACAACTTTCAGGTAAACAAGAAAAAAGATTAAAAAACTAAAAAAAATTTTAAATCACAGGAGTAATTACATAACTTGTTATATAATGTATCAAATTCAGAAATCTGACAATGTCTAGGAATTCCACCCTAAAAGTCATGGAAAAAAAAAAGAAAAGCAATGAAATAACCAAAAACTTTGCACTTTAGAATAAATATCAAAAACATGGTGTTCAACTCTTTATTTAGATATTATACTGCATAAAGGTTGTTAGAAATAAACATACAAACCATTTAAATGTTGATAACACACTTTAAAAAAACACATAAAGAGGTTAAGTGAGAATTTATGTCATTGAGTGATAAACCAGTTGGTATTTTAAAAAAGTTTTAAATAGCTGAATTACATTGAATTGCATATCCCATGGAATTAATCAGCCTTTCAGATGCTAGAAAAAAAATTCAAAACTGAGCTAACTCATGTAATCATATCAAGATTGGTCCTGAGATTCTTTCATTCAACTTTCTCATTTTGTAGATGAGGAAACTATGGAGAAGTGAACTGACTTGCTCCCATAGCTCAGAAAGCCAGGGCGCTCATGGCTTGTGGCTTGTACTCTACACCATACCATCTTCCTTGGTTCCATAGGTCAAAGAAACATGTGTCACTCTCAAATACATAAAGAAATTTGTAATGAACATTTTGAACATTTACCTCTTTTAGTTGCTTTTAAGAGCCTGACATACGGTGCTCTGAGGTTTGCAAAGCACTATATACACACTATCTCATTTGAGTCTCACAACAACACTGACAGAGACTACAAGTATTCTTATTTCTATTTTTCAGAGTGGAAAATCGAACTAGTAAGCTTTGAAAGTGACACATGAATCCAGATGTTTCTAACTCCAAGTTTGGCATTTTTTCCACTACTCTACAGAGCTTCTTCCTAAGATGCATTTCCATTTTATTAGAATACCCTGTATCATCATTAGGCACTGTATACAACATTAAAAATGGTTCAAGCAAAGTATAATTACAAATATCTATTTGGATCAATAAGTATTTGAGTGCATAATATATGATATATCATCCATCTTGGATGGATATAAAAACAGTACAAAGCAATATGATAATCTTGCTAGGCATTATTACCCACAATTTATAAGACATGGACTCTGTGATAAAGGAACTTACAATCCAGCTGGACAAAACTGAACATACATAAAACACTTGCTAAATACAAGAAAATATAGAATCAAATGAGATCAATATAGATTCAAAAGAAATCAGTATGGGTTAGAGTAGTTGGAGTAGACTTTATGGAAGAAGTAGAACCTAAAAGATGAAGAAACACAAAAGGGAAAGGACTTTCCAGGAAGGGAGTCTCACCAAAGATGTACTGGCAGAACTGATCAAGATATACATGGAAGTACTTGAAGAATGATGGCACTATTTCTTTAAAATATTGATGCCACACACTACCATCTAAGTACAAAACAATATTAGGCTCTCAATACAATCCAATAAAAAATTAAGCAAGAAGAAAACATGAAGAACACACAGTCCCAGCCTACAAGGAATTTGTAGTCTTAAGGGAAGATATGAAGCACAAAGAAACAATTTTATTATTAAATGGAACAGAGAATTGCATGATAAACCAATATAATTAGAGTCTTAAAAAGGAAATGATTTCTGAGAGAGGGTAAGAAACAACTTCCAAATCAGAAAAGTCTACGAGGGCAAGAATTGAGTCTTTACTAAATCTCCCCCAGTGTTGAGCATATTATTTTGCAAAGACCAGATACCTAAATGTTTGCTGAAATCAAGAATTGGATGCAATGGCATTCCAGTAGGTTTCTGAACTATTTTGGTGATATAGATATTTATTCTAGAAGCATAAGGAATACATGAATGAAATAGTCCTTTTTGAAAAAAGTATATGATGGGGAAGTATAAAATAAGGACAAAGGAGGAGAATGGTGTCAGACTACTGGAGGCCTTATCTTGTGGACAATGTGAGGCAATAAAGAGCACAGAATGACCTGATCAGATCTGTGCATTGTTAAAATTAATTTGGTAAAGAATAGAGAGATGGTGGAAGAAACTGTTTAGGAGAGTAGTCTCCTAGAAACTCTAGATAGATCGCTGCAAGTTATCATATAGATGGTAGTTGTTCAGTTATGCCTGACTCTCCATGCCCCCCTCTGAGTTTTCTTGGCAGAGATACTGGAGTAGTTTACCATTTCCTTCTCCAGCTCATTTTACAGATGAGGAAACTGAGGCAAACAGGGTTAAGGGATTTGCCCAGGGTCACAGAGCCAATAAGTGTCTGAAGCTGGATATGAACTCAGGAAGATGAGTTTTCTTGACTCCAGGTCCAGCACTCTATCCACTTTGCCGGCTGACTGCCTATTACACACACACACACACACACACACACACTTACACATACACACACACGTGTGTGTGTGTGTGTGTGTGTGTGTGTGTGTGTGTGTGTGTATGACCAGGTGGTAACTTTATCTTCCAATATACACTGATTACCAGGCACAAGAGGGGATTAATGTTACTTAAATGACTCACTTTTATCAGTTAAAGTATTTATTTACATTCCTTTGCATAAGATGCTCTTTAGCTCAGATGAACAGAAATACCAATTTGTCCATCCTCATCAGGCTTATAGTATTTTATGGTAGTTTTGTCTGTAGAAGAAGGCAACTGAAGTATGACTAAAATGACTTTCCAACTAATAATCACTATGAAAAACACTGGATATTAATTAGGTACTGAAGAACACTGGATATTAATTAAGTACTAATAATCAAGAAACAATCATTAAGCAATTACTACATTCCAAGTAAGAACACTGAGACCTATTTAGGCAGACCACAATTTGCATGGAGAGTAGTGTGTGATAAAGCTGGAAAGACAGAATGAGTAGAGTCATATCTGCAAGTGCTTTAAATGACAAAGAGAGGAATTTATAATCGATCCTAAGGGAAATAGGCAGCCAACAGGCCAGAGTTTACAGAGATGGTTCCTCACTTTAGGAAAATCACTATGGTGGTGATGGAGAATGGAAAGGAATGGGGAAAAACTTAGGAGAGAGGTATCCCAGTTAGGAGGCTATTGCAACCATACCAATGAAAGGCAGGGAGGGTCTAAAACAGGATGATCATGAATACAGACATGGAAATGGATTCAGGACATGTTGTTGTAGTTTAAAAAAAAAAAAAGGAAGTATTTGGATATAAGGTGTAAAAGAGTGAGAAGTCAAGGAAGGGCCCAAGACTGTAAACTTAGATGGCTGAAGGGATAGTGGTGAACTTCACAAGTTAAATGGGTTAAACAAGGTTACACAGTAAGCAACAGAGCAAGTCCTTTTGATCCAAATCCAATTACCACAATATCACTTTTCTTCTATTTCCAATCAGACCTACTATATTCAGTTTTGGTCACCATACTTTGAAAGAGATTTGGGGGAACTGTTGACATTTCAAAAGAAAACAACAGAGATGATTAAAAGAACTGAAAATAGTACATATGAAACAAGTTTCAAGGGACCAGATTTGTTTCACCATCATAGAAGATGAAGAATAAACTGATCACCTTAAGATATATAACAGCTTTTAAGAAAAATATTAGCCAACTGTTCTTCCATTTGACAGGAAATCTAATAGGTTCAAAATTAAAGCAGGATAGACTTTAGTTGGGCAAAAAAGAGAAACTCTGAAAAACTGGGGTAACTTACTGATCCGAAAAAAGCAAAGAAGAGGGGAAAAAAGGAGAGAATAGAAAAATAGATCAGAGAAAGAAGTTGGAAGTAGCAGATCATTACTAACAAATACCTCAGTTGCTACTCAGCAGCAACAGTGACACTGGGATTAATTCCTCTTTATTCTCTGATCAAATAATTGACATTTATCTAGTACTTTGAAATTTACCCAGTATTTTTCATAACACTTCAGTTGATACTGACAACAACCCTATGACCTACAGGTATCAGCATTCCTATTTTACAAATAGAAAAAAGGTTCAAAGGAGAAAATGACTTGTCCATTGTCAACAAAACCTAATAAATATGCAAGGAGCAATTTGAACACATCTCACCTAAATCCACAGCTCTATCTCCTATACAATGCTGTCTCTAGCTGGCCTTAATTACATCCAACTTCAGTAGTTAAAAACTAATGGAAGCCTATACCAAATTGCTTACTATGTCAGGGAGGGGGGAAGGGAAATAGTGAAAGAATTTGGAACTCAATTTTTTTTATATCTTAAATATTGTTTTTACATGTAATTGGGGAAAAAAATAAAATACTTTTCAAAGAAAAATTCATGGAGGGCTGAACTGGCCAGCAGCTGTAACTTAACTGCATTTGGTCACCTAAAAGTTTATTTTTATTCCATTTTAAGCTATAGAACCTAATCTGTAGCTGTTCATGCAAAGAGTGACATCAAGTTTGGACACAAAGCAATTTGTCACCTCTCTAAGCTCTGGTGAGGCCCTTTACTGAAAGGTGCCAGTTCGGGAGATATAAGACCAAATCAGTTTGCTCCATTGTCTTTATCAAAGGCTACTATTAACCTAAACAGAATGGATTACCTGCTAAGAATGATGACATGAAGTAATTACCATCACTCTTAGTGTAACCTCAGCCTTGAGGTCACTCAGTCTCAACATCTAGGCTGATGAACTGCTAATTAATGTAATGGAATGATGAAAAGAGGGGAGGTATGCTGGTTCTTTGGGTACTCGCCAGGAAAGAATATCATGGCAGTGGGGAGTAAGGCTTCAATCCCAGTTGGCACAGAGCGTGCAGGGGTAAACGGCATAGAAAATACAGAGACATATGGTGCAAAGGGGGAGGGAAGGGTACAAAAGAAGATAGTATGGGAATG